ATCTCTCCTCGTCCGTCCGTCCGTCCGTCCGTCCGTCCCCGCGTCTGTCCGTGTCCGTCCGTCCGCCCATCCATCCGTGCACGTCTGCCATTGTTCGTGCGTCCGTCCGTCCGTCTGCGGGTTGGTCCGTGTGTCCACCCCTTCCCTCCTCCCGCCCTCCCCCCCCGTCCATCTGTCTGTCCGTCTGTCCGTCCGTCCCTGCGTCCCCTCCCCCGCACACGCCTCCGTCCGTCCACTGTGTCCTTCTGACCGTCTGTCTGTCCATCCACGTGTCCATCCCTACGTCCTTGTGTCCACGTGTCCATCCATCCGTCCATCCATCCACGTGTCCGGCTGTCCGTCCGTCCCTCGGTCTGTCTGTCCGTCCATCCGCGTGTCCATCCCTACATGCACTCATCCATCCATCCATCCATTTGTCCATCTGTCCGTCTGTCCGTCCACATGTCCATCTCTACATCCATCCGCCTGTATGTCCATCTGTCTGTCTGTCCCTGTGTCCATCCGTCCATCCATCCATCCGTGCGTCAATCTGTCCATCTGTCCATCCATCCATCCATCTACATGTCCACCTCTACATCCATCCCTGTCTGTCCATCCGTCCGTCCGCCCACCCACGTGTCCATCTGTCCGTCCGTGTGCCTGCCCGTCCCTCTGTCCATCTGTCTGTCCCTCCGTCTGCCCGCGTGTCCATCTCCACATCCATGCAAGTGTCCATCTGTCTGTCCACCCATCCATTTGTCCATCCGTCCGTCTGTCCATCCACATGTCCGTCTCTACATCCATCTGTCCGTATGTCAGTCCGTCTGTCCGTCCATCCATCCATCCATAAAAGTGTCCATCCGTCCGTCTGTCCATCCATCCATTCGTCCATCCACCCGTCCATGTGTCCATTTCTCCATCCGTCTGTCTGTCCATCCACGTGTCCAGCTGTCCATCCGTCTGTCCATCCATCCGTCTGTCCATCCATCCGTCTGTCCATCCATCCATCATCTGTGTGTCCATTTCCACATCCGTCCGTCCATCTGTCCTTCTGTTCATCCATCCACGTGTCCGTCCATCCGTCTGTCCAACTCTATGTCTGTTTGTCCATCTGTCCATCCATCCACAGGTCCATCTCTACATCCATCTGTCCATCTGTCCGTCCATCTGTCTGTCCATCCATCATCTACGGGCCCATCTCTCTATCTATCCATCCGTCCGTCTGTCTGTCCATCCATCCACGTGTCCATCAGTCCATCTGTCCATCTCTACGTCTGCCTGTCCATCCATCCGTCTGTCCATCCATGGGTCAATTTCTACATCCATCTGTCCGTCCATCTGTCTGTCCATCCACGTGTCCATCTCCATATCCGTGTGTCCGTCTGTCCGTCCATCTGCCTGTCCATCCATCATCTACGTCTCCATCTCTATATCCGTCCATCCATCCGTCCGTCTGTCCGTCTGTTCATCCGTCCACGTGTCCGTCCGTCCATCTGTCCATCTCTACATCCATCCATGCGTCCATCCCCGTGTCCGTGTGTCCATCTGTCTGTCCGTCCGTATGTCCAGCCATCTGTATGTCCAGCCATACGTCCATCTCCACGTCCATCCATGTGTCCATCTGTCCGTCCATCTGTCCTTCAGTCTGTCCATCCATCCGCCCATCCTCCTGTCCATCCATCTCTTCGTCCGTCCACCTGTCCATCTGTCTGTCCATCCACCCCTGGGTCCATACATCCATCCCTATGTCCGTCCATCCGTCTGTCCAACCATCTGTGTGTCCATCTGTCCATCCGTGTGCCTGTCCATCCGTTTGTCCGTCTCTACATCACCCATTCATATGTCCATCTGTCTGTCTGTCTGTCCATCCATCCATCCATGTGTCCTTCCATCCGTCTGTCCCTCCACCTGTCCGTGTGTCCATCTCTACATCCATCCCCGTGTCCGTCTGTCCGTCTGCCCATCCATGCGTCCATCTGTCCATCTGTCTGTCCGTCCATGTGCCCATCTCTATATCCATATGTTCGTCTGTCCTTCTGTCCGCCCATCCGTGT